GGTTTTTGTAAGTTACTCAGAGGTTGAGGGAGATGGTTGTAAAGGTCTCTGTGCAGGGGATCAAGGTGGTTTGGGTTCACATTCTCAGAAAGGGCAGTGTGGTGTAGGGGTTAGTATGTCACATGAGGACATGGGATGCTGGGGTTCCAGGGCCTATCTGACTGCGGACCAGTCACACTCTCTGAGACTGATCAACCTCACAGGATTGTTGTGAAAGTCAAATTGATGAGGGGAGGTACATGTATGTTGTGCTCAGCTGCTCAGAAGAAGCACAGGATAAAAATGTATAGGCCAAATGAGGAAGGCCCTTAGAAAGTTAAATTCAGCAGGAGTTTCTCATTTTTGAGTCAATGTCCATCTATTGAATAGAGTGGCGTATTGCTTGATCAACACCCAGTGCAAAGAGGCCATACAAGGCTTCAGCACGACCATTAGCTTATTTTTCTAGTGTTTGATTGGACTACTGTAAAACACTCTACGTGGGGCTGCCCTTAAAGACAAGTTGGCAGCTTCAATGAGTGCAAAATGAGACTGTCCACCTTTTAATTGGAGAGAGCCTCTCTTGAATACATTGCATTTGTTTTCAAACATTTGTGCTGGTTTTTTATTTGTTTCTGGGTTTGATGCTGGGTGCTTCACAATCAGGGACCCACCTACCTAAAGGACCCATTTCCTTATGGCCCCCTGAACCAATGATGTTTTTCCAGCCAGCCCTTAGTCATGGGGTTCTAATCCACATACTTCTCCTAGGACTTATAAGGTAGTCTGCCACAGCAGGTTAGGAGGGCACCATTAGTCTCAACTTTTAGGAAATACTTGGAAGATTTTCTTGAAAGACTGGGTGTAATTTATTTATTTATTTCCTTCATTTATACTGTCCTCAGTGGGGACTCAAAGCAGCTTCCATCATTCTCCTTTCCTCCATTTTATCCTCACAGCAACCCTGTGAGGCAGGTTAGGCTGAGAGAGTGTGACTGGCCCAAGGTCACCCAGCCAGCTTCCATGGCAGAGCAGGGGTTCGAACTTGGGTCTGATCCTCACCCAACACTCTAATCCCTGCTACACCTTGTATGGGGGGGGGGAGTTAAGAATTTTCGGTTTGGCCCATGCATGTGAGACAGGTGGTGTAATTGGTAGTTTCACCTCTCAGCATGTGGTGGCCACCTCAAGTCTTCGGAGAAAAGTAGGAAAGTTTTTAAAATTATTATTATTTATTCAGTTTATTAATCAGAGCCAGTTTGGTGTAGTGGTTAAGTGCGCGGACTCTAATCTGGGAGAACCGGGTTTGATTCCCCACTCCTCCACTTGCACCCGGCTGGATGACCTTGGGCAAGCCGTAGCTTTGATAAGAGCTGTTCTTGAAAAAGAGCAGTTTCTGTCAAGAGCTCTCTCAGCCCCACCTACCTCACAGGCAGTGTTCCCTCTAAGCTGAGTCAGCGATTTTTAGCCTCCAGCTCACACATTCTTTGTCTTAGTTCAGGAAGGAGGGCTCCAGAGCAAACTCATCTATGCAGTAGCCAAATTGCTCGCTCACAACTTTCATGCCAGTAGCTCACAAAGTAGAATTTTTCCTCAGGAGACTCCACAGCTTAGAGAGAGCACTGCTCATAGGGTGTCTGTTGTGGGGAGGGGAAGGGAGAGGAGTTTGTTAGCCGCTCTGAGACTCCTTTGGGTAGTGAAGGGTGGGGTATAAATCCAATCTCCTCTTCTTCTTAATGGCCCTATCCCAGCTTACAACAGACTTTGGGTGATGTACAAAAGGGGCATAATGCCATAAAGATATACAACATTAAAATTAAATATACAATTTGGTTTTTAAAAAAGGAAAGAAACCAGAATAAAAGTCCAAGATGGCATCCTGTAAATTTTTTAACCCAATTCTGGACTACCTGGTCATTTTCTGGGCAAGGGGAGAGGGAACTCAGGACAGAAATACAGAAGAGGGCAGGAGGGAAGGGAGGGTGCCAGCCAGGGAAGAAACCGTTACTGCCCTCAACCAAAAGACTGGCAGAGCATCTCTGCCTTACAGGCCCTCTAGAATTGCAGAGGATCCCGCAGGGTCCTGGTGTCATTTGGATGAATTAGGATGTCATATGGTTAATCCAGGGGTGAGAAAGTTTGGTTCAGGCTCATTGTCGACTTCTGGTATTTGTGAAATGAGAAAGTCAAGCACAAGTCTAACCATCTAGTCATTGTTCTTAAACAGAAATGCAACCTATACGCAAAAGTGAACCCAAATCAGTCAGAGTCCCATTTTCGCAATGGACTCCTTCCCCTTTCTGTTAATTGACAAAAACTTAAAAGAATTATGGGTGAAACAGAGCTGGGGAGAATTTTACGGTGGACTTTGTCACATGCAGATTTAAGAACAAAAATCCATTTGGTTTGGAAGTGGCTGAGAGAGCCCAAGTGCTCGGCAGGGGCCAATAAGAACTTTACGGGGACTGTGGAGAGCTAAATGAGATCTGGGCTGAATTGTTCTCCTCAGGCTCGCTTCGTAAACAGTACGTGGATATTTGGGAAGGGGATGTGCCACGTCAGCCGCTTCGCACAGTACTGCTCCCTCCACGTGTCGGCCTTCACCCTGACAGCCATTGCGGTCGACAGGCACCAGGTGAGGTCTTCCTTTATGGTGGACGGCAATGGGTAGGTTTTGGTTTTCTTCCGAAAGCATCTTTCCCAGACAAGTTTTTCTCTGTGAGAAATGAGCCAGCACTTACGATTCAAAGGGCCTCATCACAAAAGGGCTCAATATCTCACACCTACGTCATTCTCATTCAAACCCCCACCCCAGCCCCGTGAAAATCCTATCTGTGTCTTGGGTTGTGGGATCTGGGGATGTTGTGCCACAGGCCCCATGTGGACTCATGAATTGATGGTTGAAGCATAGATGATGCTGCCATCTTCCAGCTGGTCTGGGTCTGGATTGGAGACCTTCTAGGACTCCTGTGGAAGCCATCTTCGTGTTTCCGTGATGGAGGAAATACACAGGATGTAAAAGTCATAAGTGACTTTCTCTCATTTCTGAGGCCTAGAGTAGTGGGAGGCCATGGAAGAAAGGCAGAAGACACTCAGCTGACACACCAGAAGACCTGTTCGCTCGGCCTCTTCCTCTCCTGAGTTGGAGAGCCAGTATGGAGAGCAGGAGCCCTCAAGCTTTTTTGAGCCTGTGGGTATCTTTGGAATTCTGACATACTGGTGGGTACACCCATAACATGGCTGCCACAGAAGACAGGGCTACCCACCTCCAGAGGAAGTCCAAGAGCAGGGGAGAAGAGGGGAAAGAGGAGTTAGAGACAGAATTATACTGACACTGTGGTGGCAGCAGCCACCGAAGCAGTGTTATTTTAAACTGGAAAGCCTATCAGAAGCTGTGCTGGGCAAAAGCACCACCTTGAGAGCCAGTTTGCTGGGTGAAAGCCCCACCTTGAGTTTGGTATAGTGGTTAAGAGCGCGGACTCTAATCTGGGAGAACCGGGTTCGATTCCACACTCCTCCACATGAAGCCAGCTGGTGTGACTTTGGGTGAGTCACAAGTTCTTTCAGAGCAGTTCTCAAAAGAGCTTTCTCAGCCCCACCTATCTCACAGTGGGTCTGTTGTGGGGAGGGGAAGGGAAAGGAGATTGTAAGCTGCTCTGCGAATTCCTTCGCGTAGTGAAGGGCAGGGTATAAATCCACCTTCTTCCTCTTCCACCTGGACACACCATCTTTCTAAAAAGACTTGGCAGGCACCAGAATCCTCTTCCACCTGTACACACCATCTTTCTAAAAAGACTTGGCAGGCACCAGAAAAGGTGTCAGTGAGCACCCAAAAGAATAATTTGGAGGGACCTCTGGGTCAGTATATGGGTAGGAATTTGGTAGACCTGGGTTCAAATCCAACTCAGGCATTAAGTTCCCCTGGGTGGCTTTGAGCCATCACACACTCAGCCTAACCTACCTCATGAGGGTTATTGTGAAGATAAAATGTAGGAGAAGAGAACCATTTTGCACCACCCTGCACTCCTTGGAAGGGAAGGGTGGGGATAGAAAGGTGCAGGACAGAAAATGGTAGGCACTAGGACCATGGAGGAGACATTGGGCAACTGCCAGGAATGTCTTCCCATGACTCATGGCTTCCCTTCCTTCAGCAAGGGAGGTTGTTTGTTGATAGTTGCTTTTTTCCAAATTAAAAGCAAATTCTGCACTCTTTTGTGCATGAAGTTAAAAACAAATGGTTACTTTATGAGTAATTGTGTTAAACGGCTTCCCTACAGGTGGTCATGCATCCCCTTAAACCTCGGGTCTCCACCACCAAAGGTCTCATTTCTATTGGCATCATATGGATCACGGCCGCCTGCTTCTCCCTCCCACATGCCATCCATCAGAAGTTGTTCACGTTTGAATACAGGTGAGGGTGCTGACTTCCTTTCGGCAAAGACGTCTGGATCTTTTCACCAGCAATTGGTAGAAACAGCGGGGGGGGGACATTTCAGACTGAAGTCTGGTTTTACCCTGAATGCTCTCTTATCAGCCTTTCCCTCACAAGAACATCAGAAGAACCCTACTGGATCAGAGCAGTGGTCCATTTAGTCCAGCATCCTGTCTCACACAGTGGCCAACCAGTTCCTCTGGAGGTCCAGCAACAGGGCATAGAGCCTCAGGCCTTCATAAGAACGTTAGAAGAGCCCTGCTGGATCAGACCAGGGGTCCATCTAGTCCACCATCCTCTCTCACACAGTGGCCAACCAGTTCCTCTGGAGGTCCAGCAACAGGGTATAGAGGCCGAGGCCTTCATAAGAACATAAGAAGAGACCTGCTGGATCAGCCCAGTGGTCCATCTAGTCAGCATCCTCTCTCACACAGTGGCCAACCAGGTCCTCTGGAGGGCCAAAAACAGGGCATGAAGAGGAAGGCCTTCCCCTGATGTTGCCTCCTGGCTGAGATTCAGAGGCTTAGTGCCTCTGAATGTGGAGGTTCCCCTCAGTCACCATGGCTAGTAGCCATTGATAGATTTATCCTCCACGAACCTATCTAATCCTCCTTTAAAGCTGTTTATTCCTGCAGCCATCACGACATCCTCTGGCAGCAAATTTTCATTTTAACCACTCTTCCCCCAGGCAGGATGTAGAACAGCTAATAGTTTGTTCTGTTGGCATCTGTAAAGACAGTGTGGCAAGCCAATGGGGCCTCCTAAACCCTTGTCCTAGGAGCAAGGTGGAGGAGACCTGGCTTGCCCTAGTCCCCCCCCCCCATGCATACACTGGTTGCCTTTTTATTGCAACCAGTTAATAGTATACATGCTATGCATAGAGTGAGGATTAGTCAGCAGTGGGGTAGTCAGTGCAAGAGACAGCATCTCAAGGGTTCTGTTTGGAGGCAGGAAAAGATGCAAGCAGCAATCTACCCTGGGGTGTATGAACACATTGCCATCCATCGTTGATATCTGGTAGGCTAATCTGGGTATATGATTTGATTTGATTTATCATCAAATGCTCCACATGGATTGATGGTTAATTCCCGCTAGGGTTACCAACCACATGGTGGAGCTTGGAGTTCTCCCAGAAATGTCGATCTCCGTGAAGATAGATTCAGGTGGGGGTAGCCGTGCTGGTCTGAAGCAGCAGAAAAAAGTTTGAGTCCAGTGGTACCTTTAAGAGCAACAAAGCTTATACCCAGAATTAAGTTTAGTTGGTCTTAAGGTGCTACTGGACTCAACCTTTGTTTGTCCAGACGACCAAGATCAGAAATGACAGCTTTGCTTATCACATCCCCATCGAGGCAAACACCTGAAGCTGCCTTTCACTGAATCAGACCTTTGGGCCATCAAAGGCAGTGTTGCCTACTCAGACCGGCAGGGGCTCACCAGGGTCTCAGCTCAGGCAGGGAAAGGTCTTTCACATCACCTCCTGCCTGGTCCTTTTCACTTGAGATGCCGGGGATTGAACCTGGGACCTTCTGAAAGACACACAGATTATCTACCACTGAGCCACGGCTCCCCTCCTTCTCCAGATTCTGGTGCCAGGAGGCACCAACCCCAAATCTCCAGGAAGTCAGAGCTTCTCCGAAATCTCCCAAGTCAGAGCTGCCAGGCCTAATTCTTGGGAGATAATCTTAAAATTATTCATTTGAGAAATGGCAAGAAATTGAATTAGTCTTTTCATCTAATGGCAGCCTCCATTGGTTCCTATATAGCTAACAGGATACACTCCCCAAAGACAAAAAAAAAAAATTCCAAGCCAAGCAATATAAGAGAATTTCAATATATCATAAATCACAACATGTATGCACAGGTATGCACAATATTACAAAAGTAATGTATCATAAATCACAACATGCAAAGAGGTATGCCCAATATTACAAAGTCAGCATTAGAAAGTAAACATCAAAAGTAAAGCAATTCCAGTCAGAAATAAATATTAAACCCACATAAATAGTCTTAGCAAACATAAGACACTTATCAAATGTCCATAAATACTCCAAAGGAGGCACAATAAGGTGACAAGTCACTATACTGCTTTACTCAACGGTAGTTCGATGGATGATTCAGACTTTCGGAGAACAACCTTTATCAAGAGGTATTTTTATCTTCCTCCACAAGAACAAGAACAATGAGGCCCAGTGCCCAGTATTAATAATAAATTGTAGATGGAGCCCAATTGCCTCAAAACAATTCCTCAACGTAGTGGTACAGCATGTAAAAGGCTTGGTGCTTGTTCGTAAGGCTTGTATGTAAGCACTGGCATAATCCTTTATAGACTATTTCATGGTTTAGTTAGTTACATTCAGTTTCTTTCTCTGGAGAGTTATGCCAGACTCCACACTCTGCTCAAGGGACATGTTCATTTATGAATAATTGTCAGTCACAACACTTCATATTCTGGGTCTAGATTTTATAAAACAATCTGTCCTTTTAAAGTCAAGTTTAAAATTAAATAAGCCATGGTTTAAACAGTGGATAGTAATTTCTGCATGCAGCCCCTGCCATTACGACCCTCTTATTACGGTAACCGAATCCCCGAATTCACCGTGTTCATTCCTGTCCCCCCCCCCCCCAACTGCAGTGAGGAAGTCACCCGATCCTTGTGCCTCCCGGATTTCCCTGAACCGGCTGACCTCTTCTGGAAGTACCTGGACCTGGCGACGTTCATTCTGCTCTACATCCTGCCCCTCGTCATTATCTTGGTCACGTACATGAGCGTTGCCAAGAGAGTCTGGCTCCGCAACGCCGTTGGGGACATGACCGTCGAGCAATACTTCACCCTCCAGCGGAAGAAGAAGACGACCATTAAGATGCTGATACTGGTGGTGGTCATTTTTGCGGTCTGCTGGTTCCCCTTGAACTGCTACGTCGTCCTCCTCTCCAGCCAAGTCATCGGCAGCAACAACGCGCTCTATTTTGCTTTCCACTGGCTTGCCATGAGCAGCACCTGCTGCAACCCTTTCATTTACTGCTGGCTCAATGAGAATTTCAGGACAGAGCTGAAGAATTGCCTCAGTCTGTGCCGGAAGGTCCGGGGCCCAGGGCCGCCTCCTTCGACTGCCCTGTCCTACAGAACAGCCTGGCGAGACAATAGCAACTCCAAGGGGTCACAGGACTCCCACGGCCTATCGGCACCCCAGTTCCAGTCAGGGAAAACTGACCTGACGTCTGTTGAGCCTATAGTCGCTATGAGTTGAATGTTGTGGCCGAGTAAGCAATTGCGTGGCCCTTAGCAGGTAGGATTGTGTGTGACCCTAGTACGGGAGTAAGAGAGAAAATTACCTCCCGGTTCAGTTGTCCTCCCCGGGGAAATCACAGAATCGTAGAGTTGGGAGGGACCTCCAGGGTCATCTAGTCCAACCCCCTGCACAATGCAGGTAATTCACAAATATCTCCCTCCCACACTCCAGTGACCCATGCCCAGAAGATAACAAAAAATCTCCAGGATCTTCAGCCAAACTAGCCTGGAGAAAAATTGCTTCCTGACCCCAGATAACAAAAAATAGCAAAAAATCTCCAGGATCTTCAGCCAAACTACCCTGGAGAAAAATTGCTTCCTAACCCCAAAGTGGCAATTGGCATTTCCCTGCGCATGTAAGAAAGGGCCACAAGAACTAAGCACAGATGCAGCCATGCCTGCCCTCCTTCTCATGATCTGCCTAAGTTCACATGTCTGCTTGTTCGGTTATGTAATAAGCTTTGCTTGCCTTTGTTTCCAAGAGCTGCTTCTCGTTTTATACAACTGAGTGCAAATACTAATGAACTAAAGTGCTTCAATTTGTTGTGTACTCCTTTAGGCTGTTGTCATGCAGTGTATTTACATGCAATAAATATATTTTTTCCCTTCACATTTCTACACGTGTCATGCAATCTATTTAAAGAAGGCTGCTAATTTTTTTCTCTGCTCAGTTGCTACTCTGTCCTTTTCAAGGCATTGTTGTATGAACTGAAGAGAAGAAGAGATTGGATGTATACTCTGCTCTTCATTACCTGAAGGAGTCTCAGAGCAGCTTACAGTCTCCTTTCCCTTCCCCTCCCCACAACAAACACCCTGTGAGGTAGGTGGGGCTGAGAGAGCTCTCTCGAGAACTGCTCGTGAGAGAACAGCTCTGAAAGTACTTGTAACTGACCCAAGGTCACACCAGCAGCTGCACATGGGGGAGTGGGGAATCAAACCCGGTTCTTCCAGATTAGAGTCTGCACTCCTAACCACTGTACCAAACTGGCCCTTGGTGGTGGAAAGTGTTCTCAAGTCACAACTGACTCATGGCAACCCTGTAGGGTTTTCAAGGCAAGAGACATTTGTCAACATTTGTCTTTTCTTGCAATATTTTGTGCTGTGGAAAATAGTGTTGCCTGGAAAGTTTAAGAGTAAGTATCAGGTTGGGGGTAGATAGGTCTCCTTGGGTACAGACTTTCACAGAACCAAGACTATCAACTGAAAAAGGCCCAACTATTCCCCCCCATTTTACTTCTAAGCAAAGTATCCTTTGCTGCCCTGAAGAGTGGAAGGGCTCATTCAAGGTGAGATGCTCACGCCAGACTGGGTCTGTGAGTCATATAAGAACATAAGAGCCCTGCTGGATCAGACCCGTGGTCCATCTAGTCCAGCATCCTGTCTCACACAGGGGCCAACCAGTTCCTCTAGAGGGCCAACAACAGGGCATGGAGGCCGAGGCCTTCCCCTGATGTTGCTTCCTGGCTCTGGGATTCAGAGATTGACTGCCTCTGAATGTGGAGGTTCCCTTCAGTCACCATGGCTAGTAGCCACAGACTTATTCTCCATGAATCTATCTAATCCCCTTTTAAAGCTGTTTGTGGTATTCAGGAGTTTATGAAGATGCTCCTGTAAAATGGGCGACGGCAACTGAATAAGGCTGTAGTTTACAGGGCGTAATGGTTCAGCCAGTCCTGCCCATATGCTCCAGATTAGTATTCCAAGTGGGAATTTGCTCTGAAGGACTGACATTTACATCATCCTTCAAGATTAGTTTTCCTGCTGTTCTTTTAAGATGGAACTGCCAGTCCTTGATACAACTTATGAGGCAGTTTACACAAACAGTTCTTTTCGCTTCTGGCTGCTTTAATTTTTTTTTTTTTTTACTGCATTAATCTATCCCATCTTTCACTGGAAAGCGATCGCCAAGCTACTCCATGCACTGATTTTTCCTCTCAGGAGAATGTTAATTTCTCAGCAATCTGGCTCGCTTTTGCTGCCTTAGTAATTAATGCACGGTTCTTCTTAAAGGTCTTTCTGGAAAAAATTCCCTCTGGCATGTGAGAAAGGTGAAGAAACATCCCCAGAATTACTTTACCAATGTGGTGAAAGAAAAGTAATCTAAATGCCAGAAGATTCTGGGAACAATGCTCTAACAATATCTCCTGGTGGTCCCTGGCCCAAAGTACGTCTGCCTAGCCTCGACTAGAGCCAGGGCCTTTTCAGCCCTGCCACCTGCCTGGTGGAACACGCTCCCTATTGAGATCGTGGCCCTGCGGGATCTTCTTCAATTCTGCAGGGCCTGCAAGATGGAGCTCTTCCGCCAGGCCTCTGGCTGAGGCCCATCTATGGCCTCCCTGAGGTGGCTGCCACCCACCCACCAACAACCAGCCATATCCATCTGCATCAATGGGCCAGAATCTCTCGACTGTAAGCTGTAAGTACTGGTTTTAAATGTTTATATTGTGTTTTAGAATTTACTGTATTTATTGAAATATGATGTAACCTGCTTGAGCCCTGGGTGGGATATGAAATAAACAAACAAACAAACGGAAGGGGAGAGCTGATATCTTAGTGATGGACTAAGAAGAGCCTTGCTGAATCAAACCAGTAGTCCAGCAGCCAACCAGATGTCCTGGAAGGCCAATTAGGGGAGAGCACAGGGTTCCGGACCCTCCCCCGATGCTGCCTCCCAGCACGGGTATTCAGGATTTTACTGCCTCTGGGTGTGGAGGTTCCCTTTTAGCGATAATGGCTAGTAGCCATTGGTGGAGCTTTCCTTCATTAATTTGTCTAATCCCCATTTAAAGCCATCTGTGCTCATAGCCATCACCACATCCAGAGCGAGTTTGGTGTAGTGATTAAGTGTGCGGACTCTAATCTGGGAGAACCAGGTTTGATTCCCCATTCCTCCACTTGCACCTGCTGGATGACCTTGGGCAAGCCGTAGTTCTGACAAGAGCTGTCCTTGAAAGGGCAATTCTTGAAAGCGCTCTCTCAGCCCCACCTACCTCACAGGGTGTCTGTTGTGGGGAGGGGAAGGGAAAGGAGTTTGTAAGCCGCTCTGAGACTTCAAGTGAAGGGCGGGATATAAATCCAATCCTCCTCCTTCTTCTATTACTGCACAATAATTGTAAGCGCAGACCACCCATAAACATGTAAGTCAGGGGTCCCCAACCACATCGCACCTGTGGCCACTTCTTGATTTTTGAGAACAAGTAGCGGGCACCCCAAGAAAATGGCTGCCATGTGGGTTCAAACCGTCAAAATGTTTCACAGATTATTTGGTGGTTCCGGGCCAAACACCCTCCTATGATGGAGGCAGCTGTTTCCAAGTGTTCTGAAGCACTTCCTATTCCGGTGAAATTGACAGAAGCTGGGATTGTCCAGTATTAGCGGAGGTCCATAGCTTGGTGATCGAGTGTATGATTTGTGCACACAAGGTCTGAGGTTCAGTCTCCAGCAACTCCATGTATCAAATCTCCTGTTGCAGGTCTCAGACAGTAGGAACTTGAAGTACGGCTGCCAATCAGAAATGGGATAGATGGGATGGTGGGGTGACAGTGGGTGATTCTACATCTGGCATTCACTCCCCATTTTCTCAACACTAAGGGAAAGGTGCAGCTCAAAACCGCATCCAGGTACCTGGGGGCAATGCCGTACTGACTGCAAAGTCACCCCTGAACGGCCATAAATCTATGCAGAAGGTACCATAAAGCCTGATGATCAAAGAAAGCGAAAGCGGGGGGCTTCCAGTGGCAGGGATCCAACATGGCCGCCTAAACCCGCAGCTCCGTCCTACCCTCTGATCCCCTCAAATATAACTGCGATCTAAAACAACAAATCATCATAAAACTTTATGGAGACTGACTCATTAAACTCAGGGCACAATGGCAAACCGAAACTGAAAAAAATCCAGACCACCATAGCATTCCAACTGTCGACAACAAAAACGGGCCTGAAACAACTCAGCAAAAAAAAAATGGCGACCGGCAGAGAAGATCACATTAACCCAGAAGCTAATGTGACGCACGCTACTCTTTCAAAAGAAATGTATAACTTAGAGAGATCAATTTCAGAAAATACAAGAAAGGGGACCCATGGAAATCGTGGGGGGGGGAGAAGCGGGGGAGCTCCATGCAGAGCAGGCGGAGGAGGCCTCAAGGTCCCCCCCCCGCTCCGATGCGAGGTTGGGCGGCGCGCAGCTGCCCGGGCCTTGCTGATTCCCCCACACACAGCTGATGCGAGGTCCGGGCGGCTGCGCCCGGCCTCGCATCAGAGCGGGGGGGGATCACC